CATCGATGTATGTTGCCTTAATAGGAATTTTACTATGATTTTGCTTCAGGTTTGACGTGCGAAAAGTGTACCACCATCAAAAATCATCGATCCATGTCAGCCGCGGCAGACAGGCTCTTTTGCGCGAGCTAATGATCCACGGCATATTGAATCACTTTGCTTGTGCTCATCTCTTGATGATGAGCGGAACGAGAACCGATGAACATGATGACTGGGTTTTCACTACCTTGAGCTTCCCTTATATGCCGCATTCTTTGGAAGACGGTGAGTCCAATGAGAGCGATCGAGAGAGGGAGAGGGAGAGAGGGAGAGAGAGGGAGGGAGAGAGAAAGCGAGAGAGATCCGGAGATAGGGACTGGTGTCAAACAACGGAACGGAACGGAACTCCTCGACTTTCATCGGCGTGGTGAATGGAAGATACCACCTCTCGAAGGAAACGATTTCATCGTCGATTTGATCCAGGCGTAGGTTTATTACCTATCAATTTCGCTAAAACCAAAGCTTCGGAAATTTTCACATAGTATGAATTTTTAGCTGCTCGGCAAAGCCAAGGTTCCGTAGGACCTCTGCCCAACTGCTAGAGCTAATTAACCTGGAAGCAAAACAGATATAAGCTTAATTACAAGAAAGTCATTTTCATCCTAGAATCCACAACTTTTCAAGACAAGGTTTGATGTCGTCCGGATCGAAAGCGAGCTACTTCGGCTGCCAGACGGCTTTGAATCTATTGGAATTCACAAGACGAGCATCTTTGCTTACTTCGAGGATAACGGCCCAAATGCCCGCAACCAAGCCGTCCAATGCAAGTCTGAATCGAACGCTTCCATGAACCCCGCAGTGCCTTCGATTGCATCCGAGTCGGAACATGGCTCAGCGGACTCTCATGCTGCCATACTTAATTCGCGCGGCTCGACCTTGCTAACCATACTGGCGGACCGGATTTTGAAGGTAAAGGAACATCATCGTCTGTCAGTTTCCACCCCCGACTGCAGCCAGGAAAGCTCATTTGCGTCGCTAATGGACCCTCCAAACATGGAAACAAACGGTCTGTCCCAGGCAACTCGCCAAACTACCGAAGAACAAGTTTTTTTACACAGAGAACCCGAAAAACGATGGTGATAGGTCTGAAGCGAAGAAAAGGCCGCTCAACGGCTCACTGCATGAGTGCCGAAAGGTGTTCGTCACGTCACCAGAAGTGGTCCCCAGCGAGGAACTTAACAATACATTTGAAGAAGTAGGACCACCACAGTATACGTCGTTGCCATTCGTCGTCGATGAGGGCGATATGTTGATTGATGGTTGTTGTGTCCTTGAATTGTGTGAAGTGCTTGATGGAATTGCCGTTGACGTATCGAATAAACAATCAATGTTTATTCGACAAGCAGCAGACGAGGATAAAAATAGGAGTGATAAAATGGGCGATTTCCCCGGGGAGAGCGGGGGCCTTACGACACGAAATGGGGGGGCGCCGTGGCGGGACCACAGGCTACGATCACAAGGGCACGCAATAGGGGGTAGGCTACTAGAGTCTAGCCTTTCGCTCCACAACACCTCCCTCCTTTTAGGGAAGATTGAAAGTCGGCACATGACCAGACTGGAGGTGTGTGAGGAATGAAAAAACCGAATGTGGGTACAGCATAAAAACATCGTGAAAAGATTACACAGAATTTACATAGCAACGCGAAAAGAAAAATGCTTCTTTCGATCGTTTAGCTTAATTCTTGCGTAGACTGAACACGGGCACCATCACATCGGGGCACGCATCTTGCGCTGGGGCTCGGGCAACTTGTCGGCATTCGGCAACGGCAGCGGCGGCGATCCCTCCTTTTCTTCCTCGAAAGATCCTTGACACATCGGCGACTTGTCGGGCTTGCGGAGCTGATTGATGTAGCGCGTCCGTAGCAGTCCATTTTCCAACTTGACAGTGCAGAGGAATTTGGAGTCCTTGTGTAGAATTCTTGCGGGCATCCAGGTAGATTTGTCCCTGCGCCATTCCTTAGCGTAAACGTGTTCACCTGGTGAGAAACAACGTTTTCTTGCTGGGCGGCGTCGGTGGGCAGTCCTCACGACCAGTGCGGCGGGGCTTGGGGCACGCAGCGAGCGCATTGGCGGCTTCATTTGTAGCTTGCGTCCCATGAATTCAACTCGGGTATTCATTCGACGGTTCGGGCTTGAGCATTGCACGGAATGCATCCATTGCATCCGTATTCTTCAGCCAGTCGAGGCCGAGAAGTGTGTGGCCATCGATGACGTGTCCAACACCGATCATCTCCTTCTTGTCGATGACGTACTTGCTCTCGAATGTCCCATGAACCTTGATGTCCCGTCCATTTGCGGCCTTCATCTTGAGTGACGTTGGCTTGAGCGCGGGCTTGCCGATCTTGATCCAGTCCTTCTTGTCGAGGAGGGTCACGTCGGCGCCCGTGTCAACACGCATCTTCAGCGGATGCCCGTCGATCGTCACATCATGGTATAAACGATCGATGTCGTGGTCCGAAAAATTTGAACCTACAAAAACGACATTTTCTTCCGCGGGCGGTTGAACTTGGACTGGGCATTCATTGTCCCAGTGTGCACCTTCACAATGTCGACATGGCCTGGTACGCTTCTTGCGGCGGCTCATCGTAGATTGCGCGGTAGTCGGGCTTTTTGGCATTTGGGGCGGCCTTGTTGAAACGGCATGCACCTCCATTGGCAACTTGGTGTCCAGGTTGGCGTCCTTCTTTCTTGATACGAAGTGGCGAATGTGCGCGAAAACTTCGTCCAGCGTAGAGTCCGGCTTTTCCTCCATTTTGCGAAGGATCTGGCTTCGTGTCACTTCGTGTTCAGCACCGGGCAGCGAGAGCAGCAGAGAAAGGGCCTTCTGTTCGTGCTCCTTGATCTCGCGCATCTTCGCCTTCTCGTATGCGAACTTCAGTTGGTCCACGTGCTTGGCCAGCTCTTCCACGTCACCGCCCTGGAATTTCAATTTAGAAAATTCATAGCGAAGGGCAAAAAGTGACTTGGATGGCACGAAGATCCTCAGCAAAGTGTCCACGATCTCGGCGTATTTCAGCTCGGCCGCGACCTTCGGCAGGATAAACTTCGTGAATCGCTCGTAGGCGGTGTCCTCCAATTTCTCGATCAGCATCCAGCAGCGGTCTTCTTCGGAAAACTCGGCACCGTCCTTCACGAAAACGTCGCCATACCGGGCATACCATAGCTCGAACGTTGAGCGGTCCTCGTCAAAGCAAAATTTCGGCACTCGGGCCAGAATGGAGTCCCTCAGCGTTTGAAGACGAACCTTTTTTGCGGCGTCTTCATCGGCGGGCTCTTGCTTGACTCGACTCATCAACGCGGCCATGTGTTCGGTGATGAGCTTCATTTGCAGTTCGTGGGCCTGTTTGTCTTGCTCACGCTGCTCCCGGTGGCGCTCCTCATCTTGGGCACGCTGCTCACGATGCCGTTCTTCCATTGAGGACAGAACGTTTTGCAGAACTTATTCCATTTCGGCTTCTTCTTCCTTCAGTTTCGTGGACTTCGACCTTGTGAATGGGGCCAGCTTCTTGTAGTTGTCCCTTCTTGCGTAAGTGTCGAATCACCTGCTCGCCAATTGTTGTGTCCTTGAATTGTGTGAAGTGCTTGATGGAATTGCCGTTGACGTATCGAATAAACAATCAATGTTTATTCGACAAGCAGCAGACGAGGATAAAAATAGGAGTGATAAAATGGGCGATTTCCCGGGGAGAGCGGGGGCCTTACGACACGAAATGGGGGGCGCCGTGGCGGGACCACAGGCTACGATCACAAGGGCACGCAATAGGGGGTAGGCTACTAGAGTCTAGCCTTTCGCTCCACAACAATGGTATTGAGGCTTGGCCGGATGCTCTGACTTCTGAACCAGCAGAAGCCACAACGAGAAGCCGCACAGTTGGAGAAATCGAAGAAAGAATGACTCCTACAGCTAGGAGCCGTTTGGTCAGACAGCTGCTGAATTACTTGCAAGGCCCGAGGAAGCTACAATCGGCGGTTTCCGGCGGAAGCATTTTCATTTCCGGACTAGTAGATAATGCATCGCATCGACAACCAGGCGCGCAAAACTGGGAACCGCTAATCCGGGATTCCGCGCTTTCCCGGATCCGAGTGGATGGCTTCGTGAAGCGGAGGCATGAAAACAAAGGTCAACATGCAGCTATCCGAAAAACGGTTTCGCGCCGCACAACAGACCGGCAGAGGCTTCCAGGATATCAATGAAAGCTTTCTTGGAACAGAGGAACAAAGTCGTCAAGCAGGAGAGACTTTCGAAAACGTCCGAATTGGAGACTGATCGAAGGGGCAAAGCTACCGAGGTCGAGACCCCTCAAGGTAAAGAAGAATTTTGGTACTTCACGCAGAGCCGCGGCTAATGATGTCTTTATCCTGTACGTCCACGTCTTCTTCATGCACTTACTTCCTCTCCGTCTAAATTTTCACCTTTGTACCGGTTTTTACTTACGGATATTCCTCTTGTTACGACTGTGCATTACGCATTTATTTTTTTATCGTCGTTATGAGCCGAATAAATCTCTGTTTTAGGCTATCATAAATTGTCAACAGCCTTGCTATGGCTTTTGGAAGATAGAACAGTACGGAATTTTCAAAAACCGAATTTTTGTACCAGTGAAAAAATCAACGGATGCGAAATCCTATTTTCGCATCTTTATTTGTGAATTTATGCTCAAAATTATGTAATTAAAGCAGCGATAAACAGAGCAACAAATTCAATACAGGAAAATGTAGTTTTTAATACGAGCCATCACCGACGGGATTGGAATTTGGGGGGAGAGGGTGTAAATTTTGGGGCGTTTAATAAATATAGCGTCAAAACATGGAGGCGGACAATTGGCGATCAAGGAAAGTGGCAAGGCACGCGTTACTGTGTAATAAATCTTGGCGGGGAATTAATAGAGGGAAACGAACGTTATTTTTGACGGCAGTATCTCTGAGCCTACCCACGGGTCAACAACCTTTGTATAGAATTAGATAAATCTCAAGATAGTGGCGGTGAAAGCCAAGAAAATGGTGGAAATGGCGGCTGAGGCGACTTTAGGTTCTTCTTGGGCTTCTGGGGTATCGAAGGCCGGGTCTTCTTCGTCTTGAGCGGCAGCCTGCAATCAGATATGGGCTTTGGTTAGCAAGTTTTAAGTTAAAATTGTCTAAAAACGGACCGCAGACGGCTGTAAAAATCGAAATAGCTTACAGTCGTCTGGGTCAAGCCATTGTCCAAATCGTGCATGTCACTTGCGGCAGCCTCAGGCTTCTCTTCCGGAATCCGGTCAGGAGCTCCGGGCTTACTTCGAGGACCCTCCGTTGGCTCCTAAAAATCAAATTTTCTTAAAGACTTCTCGACAGCGTTTGAACATTATTTTTCCATTTTTAAAATATGGTAGTCTCTCCCAGTTCCCAGTCCGTGTTAAATCAAGCAAACCAAGCCACCGAAGTTAGTAAACCAAGTCAAACAGACACTAAAAGCAGCACACATACTTCAGCCGCACACGTTGCCCCGGTCCAGCCGTCGTTGCACACACATCGCCCACATTCACACTTGCCGTGGTCGGAGCAGAGACGCTGAAGAGAGGACTTGAGAGAGAGAGCAAGCCAGAGATAGAGAAAGAGAAAGCGTGAACTTCTAATGGCTATCTTAAGACAGAAAAGACAGATAAGAGATACTGAATATGGAAAGCGAGAGAAAGAGAAGAGAAAGGGAGAGAGAGAGGGATGGACAAGGAAAGATAGACAGAGAGAATCAGATCATCGCTTACAGTCCCCTCGATACAAGTGACGGTCTGAGTGGTGCAGCTGCAGTCCTCCCTCGTCCATCCCTCCTCACATTGACAGACACCGCATTGGCACACGCCATGCCCGAAGCACGTCTGCAGAAAAGCCACGTCACAAAATTAGTAAGAAAGCTGGCACACTCACACTTTCACGTAGGTCGGATTTGGTCATGTCCCCAAAAGAAATTTTTTTAATATTCACCCAAAAAACGCGAATATTCCGTCAGTATTACGAACCTGATTCGTCGGACCTCCCTTCGGGCACACGCCATTCTCGCACGAGCAGAATTTGCCAGCCGTCTGAAAACGAATTTCGTAAAGTTTTAGCTGCATTAACTAACCGTCGGATTTTCGCAAACACATTGTCCGCATTTGCATTCGCCATGTCCGCCACAGACCGGTGCGCCGGGGTATCTAAAAATCAGTGTTAATATTTTTACGGACTGGAAAGGTATCTAAAAATAGAGCATTTATATTTTTGGTTCTCGAAAAACTTCTTGAAATTCGAAAAAAATAAGAAGACGCACTCTCGGCACTTGTCGGTCAGCTCGGCATCCGAATCGACGTTGTAGAGCGAGAGTGGGCACTAAAAATATTTCTTGTCCTTAAGTTATACGTTCAAACGCTTGATTTAGATTTTTATAAAGCACAGAAATCCAGCTTATAAGACGTTTTCAAGGGGATGATGAGTTCGAAACCCACATCACAATTGTGTCCCCCCGCGGCCCTCTTGGCACTCGCACTTGCCGCATATGAGGTTGCCGTGGCTGTAGCACAGCGGGGAGTTCTTTTCCTATAAAAAAAGTTTTATTATTTTTCCGTTAACCATTAAAGTGATGGTTCAAATTCAACAAGAACTTACAATCTGGTTAAACCGCTCGCACTCGCAGCCGCAGAGTGGGCTCACGTAGAGAGCTCCAATGGATCGAGCGCCGTACGCTCCAACAGTGATCGGGATCGAGCCGGTCGAGCTTGAGCAAGCCGTCAGTTTTACCTTAAAAGTAATTTGCATATTAAAATTCTATATGAAAGTTGATTATTGAGTATTCAAAATAAAAAAGAATTTCGTGGTAATATTAAAAAGCTTACCTTAGCGATAACGGAAAGTTCAGTTCCATCCGGCACCTTCTCGCACTTCTTCGCGCTCACTTTCTTGCTGTAATTAAGTATAATTTGTAGATAAAAGTATTATACCCATGACAATCAATTACAAAATCGACTTGGACGCCGGTCCCGGAAAAGTTGGAGGTCATAATTTGGAAGTCCTTGATCTGGGCACCGCCCGACGTCTCCTTGTGCAGGAATTTGAAGGGAACGTCCATTGACTCGCCTGAAAAGTGATAGGTACTGGCTTTAACGTCTTGAAACTAAAAACCCATTTAGGTTTTATGATAATACATACCTTCCTTAATCTTCACTTCAACTTGTTGGGGGTACACTTGGACTGGCGAGTTCGATCGAGGATCGATGGACCGCAGGGCGATTGCCTAACACTGGGTATTAATTTTTACTTAATATATATGATCAAGACAATTCACTGCATAAAATTTGTTTTACAGGTTATAAGGTGTCAAAATTATCTTTTTGTTGCACTTTCTCGGCTTCAGGAGTTTCTCGGCATCTTTCTAGCGCCCTTTTTACTTGAATTTTGGTCTCAGTTCCGGTCAATTCAGAAGGTTATCACATCCGATCAGTTTTATTTCAAGTATTAATGCTAGATACAGAAGAACGTGGAAATACTGCTGAGCCTGGCCACTTTCCAAAACTTCGAAATCTGATAAACCCAAAGAGCGAATGAAGGTGTAAAAGCGCTGAGGTATCGTCAAGATTTTGGTAGCTTTTAATCATCTTTACTATTAGATTTTGATCACCGAATAAGAGCATAAATTATCTGATGAATAACTCGGTTTTTCTACAACATACCCTGGGATCAACCTTCATCTCCGTAACCGGTGAGTATACATATTGCTGATGGCAGACATCCGGCGTCAATTTCGACTTCAGTTGGCATCTTGATGAGAGTTTCGAATGCTATAAAATGGCTTGTAAATCAATCTTTGTGTTTTCTTTCCATGCATTTGCAAAGCTCATCCCTGCCGCGATACCCGGGTAAGTTGGTGATTTTTCGAGCCCCGGGGAAAAATGGCAACACATGGGCGACAGGGCTAGACGCCCTTGGGGCCTAAAAAGTGGAACCTATGGGGGCCATTTCCCGTTTTTATGGGTGACAGAGGTGTGTGGAGGAGGAGGAGGAGAGCAGAGGAATGGGATGGGTTGCAGGGCTGGATTAAGTACTGGGTGAAGGTGATCCGGGTATTTTAATTGAATGGCATACAAAAATTTCTTAATTTGGAAAAATTGTGACGGTAGAACCCCAAAAAATGTACAGGTCTTCCCCCCTCTTACTCATTATCTCACTCCATCTCCCCGCTCTCACTCTCTGTCGCCTCCTCTCTCGCTTCCTCGCTCTCAATCCTTCACGCCTTACAAGGAGACGTTTTTTGGTGTGAATGGAGTTCTGAGTGGAAACCAGGCCTATTTTGTGCAGAATTTTGCGCTGATTCCGAATATGTTTTCCATTTCTGCTAAATAGCTCGACTTCAAAAGTTATAGCAATTTTAGATCATTTTAGCCCAAATTTTCCCCTCTTTAAGGACCATTATATTGCTTTTCCCGGCTGTTTTTCCAAAAATAAATATCGTCACCGTATTCAGAAAAATTTTCTCTATCAAATGAGCTATTTAACTCAAAATTGTTGAAAATCGAAAAAATCGACGATATGGGCTGCGAGTTTTGTATGGGAAATGGTGAAAAACAGCCTATTTCTCACCCCTGTAAGCCATCGTCGATCGGCAGTAGCGCACTAATCAAATATACGATTCGAATCAGAAAAAAATTCTCTACACGATAGGCTACTTAAACAAAATTTAAACATTATAAGAAAAAAAGTAGCACAGCATAGCATATGGCTACTCTGGGCCTAAAAATTGTCTTAAAATAGCTGTAACTTTTTAAATCGAGCTATTTAGCAAAATTGGAAAACAGCATCGGAATCAGCGCAAAATTCTGCACAGAATAGGCCTGGTCTCAACTTAAAACTCCATTCACACTAAAAAAACGTCTCCTTGTTAGTAGAACCGTGTTTAAAGGGGCTCCGAAATCTGGTCCACGGCCCCCTGCTGTGATTTCTGGCAAATAGCCAGATGCGACCGCAACGCGACCGCGCCGCATGGTCTTTTGCCCCTGTTTGGACGCGAAAACGCTAGAATTTTAAAATTCTGATGCTATTTTTGGAATCTTCACCAAATTTTGATCATTCTAGACTTTTAATTTATGAAAATTGACCAGAGAATCGCCGAGATCGAGAGATTGGGTGCCTTACAAGGCATTACGACAGGTAATCGCCGCGCACTCAAATGTCGTTTTCGCCCCAAAAAGAATTCGGATTTTCGCAAATGTTTTATGTTTTTTCGCAATGAAATCACTTTTGTGGCACTTCTCGGCAGTGTCCCTTGCGTTTTTTGACCAGTAGGTTCAATCCCCGCACGCACGAATTTTGACTTCTGAGCCCCTTTAATTGCTGGCCATACGAACCAAGTAATGGCTCTTAAAGGTACTGGCAAGGCATAGCTATGGATTTTTCAGCTATTTCCCAGGGGTACGCCACATATCGTATCGTATGCGTATTGCGTGCGCGGTCGGATCTATAGAAAACAGTAGCTGACAAAAAACCCTTAAGTATCCCCTTAAAACCGTGCGTTCTTTACGCGCTCCTTTTAAAACACGCAACGCGCAACAACGCAGACCCTTTCAATCTCTAAATCGATGGGAAAGACGATAGACGCGCTGGGTGTCGCTTAACCGGGTAAACTTCCCGGCTTTCCATAGTCATGTACCTATGGCCATGCATTACATGCCCCTTTAGACCCGTTTTCCCTCCTAATTGCCCGACGACACTTGTCCTCCACCACTTTTTTTTCTAGCATTTCTTCGCGTCGTCCGAAAATTAATGATCATAGCAGGTGACCCTTGTAGAACCAAAAGCCACGACACGAACAAGTGGCCACCGATCTCCCGAAAAACCGATGGCCCTTTATTATCACCCTCTAGCACTCGGCATTACACAATGAGGCCCCGCGAACTTTTTTGGCCACTTTTTTCGGCGAGTGCCGTGTCGGGGGGCCCATCAATTTGTGTGTGGGGATGTCGTGAACACACTGAATGCGGTGGGGATGGGAGAACGGCCCGGTCATGACGGTGATTTATTAGCGGGGAGTGGAGCGGTCTGGGTTGACACCCGCTAAGAAAATTGAACTCCGGTTTGGAAAGTTAAATATGCTTTTTAGGTAATTGAAAATGCCAAATAACTCAAAAGTATTTTAGAAATTTTGTGATTTTTAAGGCGGCATCGAATTTTTGGCCTAATTCATCAAATTTCAAAATTGCGAAAATCGTATTAGCGTCGAGCCTCTTTTAAAGGTTTCTTGAGCTATTTCCAGATTCTCGCCGTCTTTCTCTATGTCTGTATCCCACTCTCTCTCCCTCTCTCTCTCGCTCTATCTATCTCTCTCTCTCGCTCTCTCCCTCTCTCTCTCTCTCTCTCTCTCGCTCTCTCTCGATCTCTCTTTCTCTCTCTCGCTCTTTCTCGCTCTCTCTCACGCTCTTTCACCCCTTCACAAAAAGTTCCATTCACATTCACAACCAAAATACCTCATGCCAAACCAAAAAATTGCATATTTTCCGTGGCAATATCGCAAATCATAAACCTTTCCAAAGCGCGGGTCTGGGTCAAAAAACTTAAGGCTTTCAGATGCGTTTCGACCTTTATATTCCCCAGATATTTCCACCTCTCTCGCAAAAGCCACGCCGGCGAGTGGTCAAGGTTCTCAAATGGGATCGGTTAGTTCGTGAACAGCATGGCGAGGGTTAAAAAATTAAAACTAAATTCAACTTACGGGATCTCGGCACCAGCCACAGCTCGGGTGTTGTTTGATGCAGTCACCGCAAGACGCGGATCCGGCTTTACAGAGGGCTTCGATATCTTCGCAGAGGGCTGAAAAATACGATGATCATAATGAATGAATGCCACGTGATTTCACCACTCGATTGTGCGAGTAGTAACATCCCAGGTTAGGTTTCTGCCTTACAGGGAGGGAGGTAAAGCAACATTTCCACAAAAAATTTGCTTGTTCGCCTTTTTTTAATGAACTACCCTGACGACCACTTGCGTATAATTTTTGAGATTTCATTAAGAAACCTAGCTGGTTTGCCCAGACATTTGGTGTTGATTTTTAGGAACACAAATAAAAGCTGAAAGCTATACCTCAAAGTCCTTAAATAAATAATTAAATTGATTTATTCCATACTATTTAGAACTATTAAATAGATATATAAATTAAGCGATTATACAAATTTTATTATTCTCTCACCTAGTGGCGCTAACAGCAACAGCACAGGTAATATCCGGCGAATCATGGTGATTTCTGAAACAATTCCGAATCTGGAATTCTTCATAATTTCAAATACAGAGAAGTAAGTGCTTGGATCAATTAAATGAAATAAGGCAGTCGGAAAACGCCAAACAGAGCAATTAGAGTTTCAAGCCAAAAGCAACGAAAAAGAGAAAAAGAGGAGGGGCCCTTAAAATGAGCGTTGTTTACTTCTGGAACGTACCCTGGCTTTAGCAGGGCAAAATTGACGGCGGTGCTTAGCAAATGGAAGAGAAGAAAAAGAAACAAAAGTGAGTCCCATGAATAAAGACGAAAAATTTTTTTTAGAGTTTTTAGATCGTCATCCACTTAAGTATCTTAAATTATGATTAGAAGACTATTAAAATACTTGCTATTACGTTGCATTTCATCCCATTATAAAAATTCAAAAAATTCTTGGAAAAAAGTCAGCTGCTTCTTGTCTTATAGGTGCTAAGAATATCAGTTAGCGTAGGTGATAATTCGTTTACCACTACCCAAGCCGAGGAGTACCGGTAAGCACTATCCCCGATTCTTTCGGCTTGGAAATCCGATCGGGCTTCGGGGGCTTCAGGGCCCATTTCTTCTCCCCCACCACACCCGCTAACTACCCCGAAAACAAACACCTTTTTGTACGGATTACAACTCGGAACGACGGTCGGTGGCTGAAATGAGGACGGACGGGTTATGCGTTCCGGTTAGGAGGAAGAGGGGATATGGGTCGGATAGAAAGCTTGAACGGTTTGGAACAATGAAATTGGACTCCCGGAATCGGAAATGAAAATCAGAAAAGTTTCAAAAAATGCAAGAGGAAACGATAAGGAGATACGTAAGCTGGAAATACAGGTAAGAAAATACGTCAAAATTCACCGGTATGGGCATATAATTTCTTCGAAAAAAGCTAGCCTAATATTTCGCCGGCTACACTTTACTTTACCCCCTCCCGTCAGAAGCTTTTGGTCATAATTTTTTTATTTTACGTTATTGTAGGTTCAAATTAAAACTTTTAGTATATTTTTTCGACGCTCCATCGAATGGCGTTGCAAAAATGCCGACAAAATAAGCGACAATACCGAAAACTTTGAGACCCTTCGGCTGTGGAGGCAAGGTGGGGGTAAAGTAAAGTTTTACCATTTTGCCTAAAATTCGAGATCTAGCCGACGACAGGGTCGATTCGGCTGTTCAACCCGTTAACTAAACTTCCCAACACCTTTAAAAAAGATGGGTAACAGAAAACAATCTGGTGAAGGTCATCACGATCCCGCTCTAGCTGAAGTTGCCAACGGTCTACACGAATTTTACAAATTACCAATTTGAAATTAATGGGTCTTTGCAAAACATGAAAACTGCATTCTCGTGCCAAAGACGGCTGCATAAGCCGACACCTAGTCGTTGAAAGGATCGATTTGGTTGTTCGGAACATTAATTAGATTTCAATAAAGCTATAAAAAGGCGAAAGGCGACGTATCGATCACCAAAGTCATAAAAATCTGCACGTTTTTGACTTCGGTGGGCCTTTAGCAGAGCCTTGGATTAAATTTTTGGATCAAAGCCAAGTCTATTGCGTAATCAGACGTGGTGAAAGATGCCCCGGATTGTGCAGTTGGTGTGGACAGGGAGATCCGGTGACCTATCTTCCCACCCCTATTTTACACCCCGAGGATGTGGTGGTGTATGTGTGGGGTGCCGAAAAACATTGGCAGGGGTGGGGTGGGTGGTGGCTGCGCGACGCCGGTACCCCCTACCCGGGGCGGGGTGTTCTTTGAAGCGTCGTGGAGTTGGGGAGGGCCAATGGAGAGAGAGAGAGAGAGAGAGAGAGAGAGAGAGCGAGAGAGTGGTGTAATCCATAAAGGCCACATGAGAAGAAGCCCCGATCCGATCGCCAAAGCCGAAATGTTTCCAATAAAACTCGTGTATCGTCGGGTGAGGACGGGCGACAACAAAAGACGCCCCTTGGAAACAGGAGGGAATGATCAGGGGAGTGCAACTGGGCTTTAAAGGGACTGGGAAGGCAAAATCCATAGGGCAAAAGTGTTTAAAACATCAAAAGGAAGTTGGAATTTTTTCGTCGCGTCAGAATTCGGAGAAAATATTATAAGAATTTTCTTGAAACTGACGGGTTGATTGAAAGGCTATAAATTTCTACCATAACTCAAATAAAAATTTAAAACCTTGCTAAATGATTAGAAAATCGTCTCTCTATTAAAAATTGGATAGCTTTTTAGACCAGAAAATAAACTACGAGATACTCCAAAAAAACAGCGGAGCGAGCGCTCCGACCTGAGGACAAAAACGGCATGCACTCAAAAAAGATATTCCAGGCCTGGGGACCTAAACAGACCCCGATCGCGATCCGAAAGGAACCTCGCGGTTGTTACCTTGCCCCGTCCGCTTCGTCCTAAAAAGCTTAGGTTGCTTTTTGTCAAAGCCCTAGGTTTATATGGGATGTGGAAGAGCATCTGGTTCAGGCGGCTTAAACCTGGTTTAGACAACAGCTGAGGGCTTGACAAGTTTAACGAGTCCAAAAAATCTACTTGATGCTCCGAATTGATGGCATGGATTTTCGAGGTACAAACTGAAGCCTGAATCCTCAGAGAGGACTAGAATTAAGTGAGAAGAGAAAGCGCTATTCAGATCAATTTTGCCCTGCAAAAACTGCAGTTTTGAGATCATATTTCATGGTTCCGTTCCAAGAATGCGAACGGATTTCCAAAAATTTTTTATAGAAATTTAAGCTGCTTTTCGAAGAAAAAAAAGACGGGAAGTCCCAATTGATGAATCAAAAAGTTTTTCAATAAATAATTGAATAGATACAACAAAATAGGTGAATGTTATAAAAATAATGAAATTAATTCAGATAAAAACGGCAAAATCGATTTTGGCAAGAAAGTACGTTTGTAGACCGAGCAGCATTAAACTCCAAATTCCCATTCGGTAGAACCTTAAAGGTACACTAACGTCTCGTTGTTTTGGTTACCGGCCGGTAACCGTCCGCGGGATAGCAAACAGGGTTACTGTAGGTGCTCGCCGTGGAGCAAAACCGAACCCGGACCACTCGCCTGGGGCAAGCGCCATGGGAGAGACGGGAAAGGGGAGGCGGACAGGGGATATGAAGCCTCGGGCCAGGCAACCGCAAGGGTGCCAAATTCCCGACCGCGGCCCAATTTTTCAAGCGAGATTTTAGTGTACCTTTAAAGGGATCGTGAAGACAAAATTTTTGTCCGAACCTTCTAACTCGCACTACAGTAACACTCTCAATTATCCATGGATTCCAGAGGGTATCAATCGATACTCTAAAGCTTCTACCCAAACACTACCCAAGCGCAGCCATAGACAACGAATGTTACAGTATCAGCTGCTCCTGGTAGGGGTTAGAGGGAGAGAGTTAAAGAGAGAGAGAGAGAGAGAGAGACCGAGAAAGTCAGGGACGGGGTGGTGGCAAATGGTGGGATAGAGGAGCGATATAGGGGTCAAAGTGAAGGCATCTGTTGGCCCCGCGGGTTGCGCATCCCCCTCCTCGATTGGGATTGGGGGCCCTTGGGCCTCTAAGGTATCAAATAGTGAAGAGAGATTCGAAGGGTACAACTGCTCACTCTAGAGGGGAGAGACTGTCTCTTTAGAGATCGATGAGGGGTCACTCATTCAACTTCAAACTAGCTCGCACTCTAGCTCTAACACCCAATCACACTAATCAAGCCGGGAAGGTGGTTTTGATTTAAAGGTATGGAGAAGGATGGAGAGGCAGACAGGGCGAGAGAGAGAGAGCGAGAGAAAGAAAGAGTGAGAGAAGGAGCGAGTGCGAGAGAGAGTGAGAAAGAGAGAGGAAAAAGCATGAGAGAGTAAAAGAGGGAACGAGAGAGACCGAGAGATGGAGTGAGGGTGCGAGAGAGAGAGAGAAAGCGAGAGAGAGAGAGGGACAGAGAGCGCGCGAAAAGAGCGAGAGATTGAAAGCGGCCTGCTCAACGCTTAAAAACATTTAAAAAAATCAAAATTCTGCAACAACCACGTAGTAAAAATCGTTGAGTGGATGAGAGAGAGGGAAAGCGAGAGAGAGTGAGGGAGAGGCATTACATAATAATAAAACTATCTATTTTCAAACCTAAATCCAAGATCAGCTGATGATGTAAAAAACAGCCACTTGGCCCCGCGCCAGCCCTCCTTTGCCCAAACCCTTTAGCACCAGAAATCTGTTGCCGGTAATCTGAGAACACCCCAATACAGTCAGTGGTGTAAGGGGTAATCTGGCGTAGTCTGTCTGCTGGGTGGCTGGGTGAGTGACGGTGTGACCGGGTGAAGCATGCCCTTCACCTACTCTACCTAACCCATTCTCGGGCACTTGAGGCATGGAGTAAGGGTAGTAAGGGTACGACTTTTGTCTAGAAACCATTAGGGAAGCAGTCGGGCACGGTATAACAGTTAATGAATTGATAATTACGACAACGGCCGTCGTAACCCTTCCAAAAACGATTGAAAGCTTTTAACTTTTTTTGTTGGCAAAATGCTGGCAAAAAGAAAAAATTCCAAAAAATAACAGATTCCCTGCGTAATCCTGCCTTATATAATTTGGTCGCGTATCTCTCTGTGTGTGTGTGTGTGGATGTCACTTTCGAGGCCCGATTTGAGGGCCTTCCCGTGTCCAATATGCCCTAATTCTCGGTTCCGGGGGAATCGACCCTCCTCTTTCCGATGGCGTTTTCAGAATCCCGATAAAATACAAGGTTAAAAAGTTAAAGCCGGTTTTATTGATTTTTGGGGGTCCAGGCAGGCTAATTTGCATAATGTGAAAAAATACAAATTTCCTCATTCTTGCCAGTTGCACTCGCGAGTTTGGTCGTCTCTTTGGATCTGCCTCTCGATGCTTTTTCTTCCCCTGCCCCGGGCAATGCCCAAAAAGGGTTTTTGGCGCGTGCTGCCAAGCATTGCATGGTGTAGTGGTTAGCGCATCGCCCTACTAATCTAACCATCGGAGGTTCGATCCGCGGATATCTTAGTTGTTTTGCTTTTTGC